ATGAGACCAAATTTAACGCATCACTGTTTCTAGGAGAAAGTACAATATAGGTTCCAAAAACCCAGTTTTCAAATATGAACAGAACCTGCAAGCAAATGCAGAAACTCTTTCCCTGCTTTGCCGTTTGTGGGGATCTCCAAACAGAACACAGCAGTGCCCAGCAAGAGCATCTTCAGCAGCAGTCATGACAAACACAGTCATCACAATCCTACTTATTATCTTAAAACTTGCAACTTTGACTTTCGTATTTTTATAATGTTTGATATATTTATAATACCTGTAATTTATTATTAACTATTTATTTGTATAAAGTGAACAAGCTTCATGCATACCACAATGCAAAGGCAGAAGCACAGTGACACCTCTGGCTCCACCCCTCTCTTCCCTAGTTCTCTTTTTTCCCCATTATGGTGACTACGGCATAGTTTCATTTCACTTCATCACCATAAGCCTAACACTTCAATTGGTAAAGATATAATTTTTATAAAAAGACACACAATTTATAAAAAGATGAACTGTAATAAATGCTAGAGTATATCAGTAGGGAATATACTTAGTGATATATCTGTAACATTAGAGCTTGCCAAAGGGACTCTTTTAGGTTTTTATAAAACCTTTGTCTGACTTGTGAGAGAAAAGCTAAAATAGATGATGTCTTCTTACAGATCAAAGCCTGTAAGACAGGGATTCTCAAGGAGAGTCAAGGAGCACTGGCACTTATTTCAGACTAAGGCTCCGGGTCTCACCCCCAGGGAGGCTGGCAAGATGTGCATCTCATGGCACCTGCATCTCAACAACGTAAACCCTACAGACACGATCATTCTCCATGGCATGCGCCATCCCACATACTGTGGCATGCTTTGCAGTGTGCTGCCCTCGGCACATCCAATGCTTTACGAAGCACACACCTCACTCCTCATCCAAGTAAATCTTGGGGTACTGTCAAATATTTCCTAGAGAGCAAAACTGTCTCACTGGAGAACCAGAGATGACAATCATCCAAAGATGATGCCAACCTGAAATGGGCAATAACAAAGTGACTTTAAAAACAAAAAAGTGGAAAGCAGATATGTATAAGCATGCATTCTATAAATTGAAATAAACAGGCTTTCCAAGAAGGAAATCTGATTAACCACTATAAACCCCTGACAACTCAGTTAAGCTAAGTCAAAGTTCTTCTTATGTAATTTCAACTTGAAGATTTGCTCCCTAGTCTCTATTTTAGATTATTTTTTTAATTAACTTCACTGGCATTTTGCATCCTGCTATGAAAAGTCTGCCTAATAGTCTCAGAAGACTCTCCCAAGAGAGAAGAGTGCATTAAATCACACATTATCACATTAAAGTATATTCCAGCACTCAGAGCCCAACAGTCTGTGTCTTGGCACATGCAGAGGGGCGGGGGATGGGGATGCTACAATGATGGAAACAGGCCCAACTGATTCACAATAGCCAAAGCCCATTGACTTCAAAGCACCCAACCCTACAAAAAACTTGGTTTTCCCATTCGACCACGCTGATCATGATGAAAGACAGTATATTTCACAATTGGTGCTTCCACTCTGATTTCTTGCTACTGACCATGTGCAGGATCTTGGGCAAGTCCCTTCAATTCTCTGCATGTCCTTGCCCACAAGTGAAAAACGACCAGAGCGGACTAGACCATTTCTGAAGATCTCTCCGAGCACAAGTTGCAAACTTTATTCAAAGTCTCTGCCAATTACATGGGATCTGTAACTACCACACCAGACACCAACATTTTCAGTGTTGCATGATAAACAATAAATCTGAAAATGCTTAATCGTAAAAGAAAAACCGACAGTGGGAGGAACAAGACCCAAGAGCATGCTGTGTCCTGATTTACTTATGTCCTTGAAACGCAGAAGAAAAGTGACAAATGCACAGCGATCTCTCCTCCTCATCCCAGCAGCCAAGGATGAAAAGTGTCCAAGCCAGACAGCAGGAACGCAATCCCGGTCTGTCACACGCTAACAACAACTCTACTACCTGAGCCGCGTACCTCCCAAGGTGCACATCAGTAGGAAACCACAAGTGGGAATGGAACCATGGACCGGAACCAGGATTTCTAACTCCAATAAAAGATGCAGGTGTCCCAAAGCAGCACATCTGAATCAGTCTGTCAAGTGCTTGACCCAAAATGAATGCTGCCTTAAAACAAAAACAAGCAGAACTGAAACTGTCATTCACCCATCAAGATACTCACGCAGGCACTCTGCCCGAGTGTAGAAATCAGTCTTTCCGAAGTACGTCGCAGACAAGGACACAGTTTCAAATCACATGCTTGCTTTCTATTTCCATTAACAGGGGTCACAGGTCAGCTGCTCAGAGTACCACGCGCAGCCTGCAGGTGTGTTGACTTTGGCCCGAACAGAAACCGGAATGGTCGCTAACTTTAAAAAGCAAAATGGTAGGACACAAAGAGCCCTACTTCCAGGATCTCTTGAAATACGGAAAGGTAGTCACTCACAGGGCAACAATTCGCTACAACCAGAGTCTTGGTCTCCCTCCCCACCTGTCTCCAGGCTCCCACTGCTTCCTGGGGTGTGACATCCACCCTGATCTGCCTCTTCCCATCACAACAGGAGCTCACGCCTCTGCTCTCCAAAAGTTTTTAAAATAGGAAATCATTCCGAAAGCTTTTCAATGCTTTTGGAGTGTTACTAAAACCTGCAGAATTGCAACCAAAAAAGTAGAGATTTTAGGAAATGCAAAACTGTTTTCAACAAGGAAATCCTTCCCAACTCTTAATCATGTTGACTGCAATGAGCTATACACGGGCTAAGTTTTTAATCAACCCTAGACTGCAGTTCAGACTAGAGAGAAGCCCTAAAATTACTTCCAGCTTCCAGGTCCTACGCTTTTGGTTAACAGGCTGGAGAGTTCATTACCGCAAAGTAATGTTATCTGCAGGTTACACATGTATGTCTTTACCGACAGACCGTGCATATAAATGTGTGACTTTGTAGGAGGAAATGATCATTCTTCTTCATGAAATTCTATTTTCTGTTAACCTTCATAAAACACTCGGAATTTTAAAATTGTTTCAATTAACTCTGCAGCCAAGTCCTGTGAAAACCCAGCTAAACTATTCTGAAAGGATGATAAAGAATCTAAGCACAGAAGGAACTGGATAAAGGACCCTGAGTGAGGACCTAGGAATAGAATGGCTTCCAGAAAAACCTTCTTCACAGATGCCTTTAAGAAGCAAATCAACCTCAGAATGGGAAGCTACATCCTCACACTCTTCAAGATGCTAATGTGCTTTATGAAATCTACCTGTTTGAAATATAACATTTTTAACAAGACACTGAGAATATTTTTTTTTCTAAAGAATCAACTCCATATGACATTTGTCATTAAGGTCAATTCCCTTCTGAGAGAACTTTTTGGCGCCAAAGTTAAACTCGTTATAAAGCAACATGTAAATCCACTACTGAAGCTAAGGTACGACAGAACCCTAAAGTCCTCACGGTGAAATTCTATATGCTAGAGACAGCATTCTACATCAAGCCATTCCGGACAACCTCCCTCTTAAAGTCAGATCACGTGACGCCGCGTGGCTGCCTACCCGAGCAGGTGCAGCATCTGCAAGTTCTTCCCAGCTAACTGTAAAACTGCACCCTATTCAAGCTGGATTCTGTAGGTATTAACTGGTTCCAAATCCTACTGTTTCCCTTCAGTGGTTGAAGTTGGTTTTTGACACATGCGTTGCTTAACAAGAGTGTTCAGAAGCGCCAACGCCAGCACCAAGAGCCCGTCAATGAGTTGATGTGACTACGGAGGGCATGGCAAACGACAGGAAAATGATTGTGTCGACAATGCAACGTGGAGAGCACAGGCTCCTTCTGGGAAAACATATGTTTATCATTCTAGTTCCCTGATTTTTTCTGCAGTTAATCGTTTTTAATTTTCTGTTTAGAAGAAAATGAGTCACTCCTTCCACGTAAAATGATAAACATGATTCAGTCAGCAGTCCTGAATGCCAGCGCATTGTAATGACCTAAATAGGACTCTTTCTTCTTTTACCTATTGTGGGATGTCAAAGTTAACTTTTTTGCCACTTTCTGCTGCATTTAAAAAAAAAACCCTCATGACATTATCATTCTTGGGGACTATCGGGTAAAGCAAGATGCTTTAAGATTTCTTCCAGTCAAGACGAGCTCTGAAAGGATGTTTCGGTCCTGTCACTAATTCCATCTCTGAAAATCAGAAATGGCATCAGAGGGAAACACACAGGAGCACTGAAGACCTGTGCACTGGATCACCTAAGAAACCCTCAGGTATGTCACCTGTAAGGAGAGAAAGATGCAGTCTGACTTGTTTAGAAACTTGTTCTGGGAGGTGCTCACAAGTAAGAATTTTTCTTCTCAAGCTATTCACACTTACAGTCTGTGAGAACACAAGGGAACTAAGACATTCTTGAAACGCATCTTTGAAAGCACGTTTATTTCCAAACAAAACAGTGATTCAAAACGTATGCACAAGCCATTCCACAGAACTCTGGGTCGCCAGCCAAGGTGCAGGGCAGCCCTGGAGGAACAGAAAGATGAAAGACACAGCCTACATGGGTCCAGGGAGCGGCCGAGGTCTTGGATTCCAGGAGAAGACAAGAAACCAGAGAGACCTGGAGGAGTGCTTCTGTTCCCACAGCGCTGAGCCAGAGGCCCCGAAATGCAGAGGCTTAAAGACACAGGCAAGCTTGTCCTGCTGCTTCTCTGCCACCCAAGGAAGTGGAGTGGAGGGACCAGCGGATCCCGCCCTCCTATCCGGTTGTTGATCTAGGGCAGGAATCCTGGCGAACTTGCTGGAGGAACGCGCGAACTGTGCAAAAGTTCAACACCACACGGTAGGGAACCCTTCCCCACGGCAGCCACCCACTTGCCACCAGTACCTGTGCGAGTAAACTTTTTTGTTTTTTTTTCTTACAAACGCAGCCATGACCCAAGCAGCTTGCCCCCCCTTGGCAAGGGCGCACTCACCGTGGGCCGGAGAGCCCTGGCGGCCGCCGCCCGCCTCGGGCCCGGGAGCCAGGGCTTCGCCCGCGCCGGACATGGGCCCGCTGCGCCGAGCCCCGCGCCGCCACCGCACCGCGCCGCGCCGCAGCCGCCGCCTCGCTCGCCGCCCCGCCGGGCGCACCCGGGGACGCTCGGGACGCGTTCGGCTCAGGGACCCGACTCCGTCTGGCCGAAAAGAAAAAAGAAGAAGAAAAAAAATGCTGTTTTCAAAGAGAAGAGCACGCCACCCCTGAGGGACTGCCCTCCCCCCTCCGCGGCCCTCCCTCAAACTCCACCCCGGGGAAGTTTTGATTTGAAAGCAGCAGGGAGGAAAACCGTGACCCAGCACGTTGACAGAGACGCGCCCCCACCCCCGGGCAAGGGGCGGGGGACTGCAGAGAGGGGACAGGCCCGGGGACGCTCCGGGAAGTGACCCAAGTCCTCCTCCTCGCGGCCCGGGACCAGCACCTACCTCAGCATCCCACCCCAGCCCTGGTCGCTCCAAGCCCCTTCCTCCTCCTCTTCCTCCTCCTCCTCTTCCGTCCGGGCAAAAGTTAGCGCGGCTGGGGCAGCGGCCACATCGCGCCCGGAGGCCTGTGGGCCGCGGCTGCCGCCCCCGCGCGGCCCTCCGAGCCTCGCTCCGGCTCAGCCCCCAGACGTGGCGGCTCCGACTGCGCGCACCCGCCCCGCGCTCGGGCCCTGGCCCCTGCCCAGGCCGGCTAGCCCGCTCCGCCTCTGCACCCGCCGCCCCTCGGCTCTCGGCTGCGCTCCCGCCGCGCTCGTCCCCTCGGTGGTGGCTCCTTTTCATCACATCCGGATCCCTGAGGCCTCGAACTGCTGGCCTGCCGCCTTGAGGCTTGGCTGGCTGCGGCGTGCTCGCCCGCGGCCCGCGCTTGTCTGGGTCAGGAGGCCAAAGCTGGACTCACGCGCGTGAAGGCGGCGGGGGAGGTCCCTCACCTGCGCTCCGGAGCCAAAAGGGTGTGGGCCGGCCTAGTCCCCGGGCGTCCAGATGGGCTAGCCTGCACCCCAGCCCTGCCCAGAAACTCACTGCACAGGAACTGGCCCTCTCCCAAGACAGAGGAACACTGTGAGGATGCTCTAGGAGCAGCAGAAAGCTTTTCAAGTGGACAAGCACAGAGGAAACGAAACTGCATCTTTTTTTTTTCCCTTGGGTAAAGTGTGCATTTGAAACCTCGTGTTAGGCAACAACCTATCCCACCCCTTCCCAACAGCTGAGCATCTCATCCCTGACCTGAAAATTGCCATCTTTCTGGTGTGTGTGTGTGTGTGTGTGTGTGTGTGTATTTCCTCTCTGCATCCTCACCCAGCAGGTCCCTAATCAGGTAGAACGACTTGGACTTGGCAGACTCCTCCGCAGGATCCAGATGGACAAGGTGGATGCTCTCGGGGGTGGATGTCTGGCCCACGTCCCAGCCCTGCCCGCTGCAGCCTGACCGCCTCCCTGAACCCAGGGAGATAAAGTTGTGGCCGGAAGTGAAGAAGTGAGCATCAACTCCGCTCATCAATGAGATGTTCTGATTGGAGCTTAGTCCTAGGAGCCGAGAAAGTGGCGCGCTTTGCTGATATTAAGTACTTTAATGATGTGTTCACTTAACTTTTAATTTTCTGCAGAGGAAATACAGAATTCATTGCTAGGAAGCTAGTACAGATTCATTCTGGGACCCTGTAAGACAACAGAGGCATCAGAGTAAGGTGACCAAAGTCCAACAGGTGTACTTTGGACTTCACCTTCTTTCCAGGGGCAGCGTTAAATAATACCCAGGGAATTTCATTTGTTCTTCAAGCCTGCTAGAATTGAATCCAATGGAAAAACATACGTTTTTTTTTATTTTTTAAACGATTTATTTATTTTCTTTTGAAAGGCTGTTTTGCAGAGAAAGTCTTCCGTTCACTATTTCACACCCCCAAACAGCCACAGTGGCCAAAGTTGAGCCAATCTGTAGCCAGGAGCCAGAAGCTTCTTTGCTGTCACCTATGCGGATACAGGTTCCAAAGGACTTGGGTCATGCTCCACTGCCTTCTCAGGCCATCTACCAAGAGATGGATCGGAAATGGAACAGCAAGACATGAACCGGTGTTCATGGGGGATGCTGGCACTTACAGGTGGAGGATTTGCCTGCTGAGCCACTGCATTGTCCCTGAAAACATGATTTTCTTAAGACTCACTATATTCAACTTGATTTTAGTTATCCAGGAAGAAAATGGGAAGAAAAAAAAAAAGCCTTGCAAGAGTCTAGTGCCGCTCATTCACCTCATACTGCCCAGAAGCAATTGACATTTTGTCCAATGACTCGTAAGGAATAAATACTTCTATATTTTGTTGGAGATTTGCACAGTGGTCCCTATGAGAGTGCCATAACTCATGGAAGCTTGTCCAGGGGACTGAGTTCTTTGGAATCTGCTGATGGGCAGGTTCTGACAATGGTTGCCTTGCCATTAGAGAACTAGCATTGAGGAAGCCTTTCTGTATTGCAGGAGACCCTGCCCTGGAAAAGACCGCTCTGTTCCTTTGTGGGATTCCTTGTCCCATCTTATTCATTCCCCCACAAAGATGCTAATAGGTCCAAAAATGGCAAAATACATTCCAGGCTCTGGCAGAAAGACATAGACAGTGCTAAATATTTGCTAATTTAATTTCACACAGTGCTTAAAGGTTTTAGACATAATGAGCAATTTAATAAATAGTTGCTTAATTAAATGCAAACATCAAATGGAGATGAGATAAAATTCAAATAAAAATGTTCGGAACCAGTGGGAGGCTGTCTTGCAGAACCCCACTGAGACAGTTAAACTCTTGCTTTTGTATGACTTTGAGCAAGTGAGTCGATCTGCAGCCTTGATTGGTTCATCAAGTGAAAACGATAGAAGAAAAAGCTTCACAGAGCTTCTTGATGAGAATCAAGTGAGATAATTCTCCTATAGGATTTGGAAGAAAATAGAAAATGGAGAAATTGCTCAAAATATTAACTACTGATCTCAGAGATGTGGCATAGAATATGGTTAGCACAAGCTGGGAGGCTGGGGGTGATGGCGAGAGGATGCCGGACTGCTGCAGGTGGAAAAGAGGTATGGCTTTAAGATTGAGTTTACCTATATGAAACAGAGAAAGGGAGATAGAGAAAGAAAGAAGAAAAGGAAGAGGAGAGAGCACACTTCCAATCTGGTAGTTTCCCTCTCAGGTGGGCCAGGCTGAAGCCAGGAGTCAGCCACTTCCTCCGGCTTCTCCATACGGGTTACGAGGGCTCAAGCACTTGGGCTAGATTCTGCTGCCTTCTCAGACCATTAGTAGAGAGTTGGATCAGAAATGGAGCAGCCGGGACATGAACTGGTGGCCACATAGGACACCAGTGTGCAACAGGTGTCAGTTTAACCCGCTGTGTCACATCAGCACCAAGAAGAATAACTCCCAATGTTCTCTAGCGCAGTAGGAGTAGCTATGATGCAAAAGAATGAATTGTATACTCCCAGATAGCTGGCAGGGAGGATTTTGAATACACTCAACTCACAGAAGTGATAAATATTTGAGATGATGGTTTTACCATCTACTCTGGTCTGATTGTCTATCGTACAGATATATGCAAGCATATCATCAAACCCTATAAATAAGTACAATTGTTGTGCAACAATCAAAATTTTAAATATTAATATTATTACTGTTACATAGCAGCAATTTGACGGGTCGAGTTGACTGTGGCAAAATGACTGCATCCCAAAGGCCACAACTAGGTCTCGGTGATCTGCACTTCGTCCGAGTGCTAGCAGTGCACCCTTATAACAGCCCTGGAAGTTAGCAGGAATGGCCCACTAGGCCTGGCGCTCAGGGCTGTCTCACCTCTAAGACATCTCATTTCTTTGCATAAACTTAGGTCTTCTCCCTGGGGAATCCTACCCTAGACGTGATCTCATTGCTGCAAGCCTGGTATCTGTGGTTTTAGTGAATGTAAGCTTCTGTGCGTTTCCCTAACTGTTCATTGCTCCTGTTCCTTGCCCTGTTTAATCACTCTAGATGATCACTTCCGATTAATTCCAGATAAACAGCACCCTAGGGATTTTACTCTCTCACTGTTACACTTAGGGCCAGGGACTGAGTGTGTCCTTCCTAACTCAGAAGTTGAAATCTTAACCCATCAGGTGACACTATATGGAGGTGATGAGGTCAGAGAGTGGAAATAGTGCCTTTATGAAAGGACAGAAGGGGACATTCTCTTCCCCACTCTGCTGTCTGCAGGTGAGACCCTCATCACCTCCGCCGGGTCTCTCTAGTACCATTTCCTTAATGATGAAGATCCAACAAATAGATCCCATTCAGGGACCACAAGCATTCAGCCCGCCCTGAGGGTGGGGAGAGGACCCAAATGACTGTTTATAAAAGTCACTCCGGTGTAACTGAGAAGTGATTCCTAGGCACCGAGACCGAAGCTCCAATTCGTCCAATTAGAAGATCAAAGATGATCTTGACAATGGCAATAGGAACAATAGACAGGTGTAAAGGCTGATGGAACTAGAAGAATGAAGGGCAAACAGCATCCCTCCAGCCCAGATTTCTGTATTTAGGCAGATGGTGGCGGAATGATCTACAGCAATGAAACAGGAGAGGAGATTTGGGGCAGAACTGTTGAGTCAGTCACGATAATGACGTAGCAACTGTGAGACCACAAGTTGGAAATTTCCAGAAGGCTATTATATGTCTGTTTTGAATAAGAGTACTTTATTAGCTAGAAGGTTGTAAAAAGACTCAAGGTAAGCAAGTAGAATAAAAACAGAGAGGGTAAGGTAATGTTATCTGCTGACACTCAACCCCAATTTGTCTTTACTGGCCCCTCCCCCCAGCTTCCCCTTCCCTTTATAACAATATTATCTTCCTGGCTTGTAGCATCGCCATGATACAGGTACCACTAGAACCAGTGCCCTGTCTGCTATCCCAAATGCCCCTGGTATTATTAGGCCAGGCTTAGTCATTCTATGGTTATTTGTATGAGTAGAAACCTACAATGTATCCTGTCTTTCACTGAATGTAATTGCCTTAGCCCCTGACTTTGAAATCCTGGTATGTTTCACAGCCATTCCAGTCTAGTGACACACTAGCTAATGCTGGGTCATCCAGACTCACTCTTTAAAAAGTGTAACATGATCTAAGCAAGCAAAATAACCAGGCGAGTTAAGATACAAGGTATATTTAAGGGCTATTTGATTTCCAGTCTTTCATTTAGTAGTTATCTCATTGGTTGTGCACCCACTATTTATTGGCCACCTACTAGCACTGGAAATAATTTATTTGATTTCTTGAAAAACTGATAAACTAGTTTTTATTTGAGCACAGATTTATCTACCCAGGTAAACTTGTAGTTAATATTCTTACATAGTTCTGTAAACTGTAGATTAACAAATAGAGTACATAATTGTGAGGATTGCAACTTGGGATGTACAAAGACGTTCTATGGGATGTGGCAGAAACTATTACAATAAGCATTTATATTTGTTATTCTTATGTATATTTTCAGTATGTTTTTCAGGGTATATCACAAAAGTGTACAAATATACTTTTATGCGATTTTTAAAGTAAATGTCAGGGGCCCAGCGGCGTGGTCTGGTGGTTAAAGTCCTCGCCTTAAACATGCCAGGATCCCATATGGGTGCCGGTTCTAATCCCAGCAGCTCCACTTCCCAACCAGCTCCCTGCTTGTGGCCTGGGAAGGCAGTGGAGGATGGCCCAAGGCTTTGGGATACTATACCCGCATGGGAGACCTGGAAAGAAGTTCCTGGTACCTGGCTTCGGATCGGCTCAACACTGGCCCTTGTGGTCACTTAGGGAGTGAATCATCACATCAGATGAAAGATCTTCCTCCCTGTCTCTCCTCCTCTCTGTATATCTGACTTTGTAATAAAAAATAAATAAATCTTAAAAAAATAGTAAATGTCAAGTGTTCATACTCAAATGTTTTATCAATTATTTGTGAAAATTCTTTTCGATATTTGAAGTCATTGAGACTTTATCCACTCAATCATTTCCAGGTTGTATTAAGGGAGGTTTCTCTGGAAAATATTTACACCTCATTTAAGTAGATGAACTAGTTTGCCATGGCCCAAACTCAAGGGCCTAGGAACTGGGCGATAACCCCAGACTTCAAATAGCTGCAGTAAGTTGCATGGTCTTGATAAGGAGGCAACAGAAAGTCATGGATTGTCTCAATATCTACTCACTCTTTTGTGAATGTACACCTTTAAGGAAACTGTTCCTATTGTCTCCGCTTACAGTATACGAGCAGAAGGAAGTTTAGGCCATTTACAGTATACTAGCAGAAGGAAGTTTAGGCCGTGTGGGCTTTGAGTAGAGGGGATTAGCTAAGGGAGTTATTAGGTCAGGAAAAATGACAGCAGGAAAAATGACAGCTGACAGACAAGGAAGATACAGGAAAATAAACATGTCATAACAACGCCTCTGTGAATTCAGCTCAGTGAAACAAGCGACGTTCCTAATGAGAGCCTGAGTGATTAAGTAAAA